GTCAACCAGTCAAGTCCTTCATACAGACCATCCCCTTTTATTGCACTTGCTCCCTGTATATCTGTAGCAGAATGTAAATTAATATCATTGTGTCTAAAAATACCAATATCCATACATGAACATAATAAACTTACACCATTTTCTGTCTCTGATTTGGTGGAGTTCAAGTTTCTCTGTGATATCTTGAGTGCTCATTGCATTCGGTAGATCTTGTTTGTTTGCTAGTATCAAAAATGGAGCGTCTTTGAGTTCTTCCTCTGCTAGCATTTTTTGAAGTTCCTCACGACAATCATCCAACCTTTCTCTATCATTACTGTCAATCACATAAATGAATGCATCAGTGTTCTGATAGTAGTGTCTGTATAATGGACGCTGCAAAAAAAGATGAGGAATGAAATATTTAATTCTGTTAGTTAGTGATCATAATTTACTATTTTATCTCTTCCGCCAACGTCCCAAGCAGTGAAGTTGATACTTTTATAATTGACTGTCTCAACATTGAAACCTAAAAACACGATCCATATATCAACAGTGATAATATATCAACAATGATAGCTCATTCAGTTATATAATGACACTGACTTACCAATGGTTGGTATAACGGTTACGACTTCACCTAATTTGAGCTTATACAGCATAGTTGTTTTTCCAGCAGCATCTAAACCTACTATGAGCAGTCTGACTTCTTTCTGTCCAAACCATTTTCTCATCAAAGAGTTCCCCATTCTTACTCAACTTATTTGAAGATTACAAGTGATACTATTGTAGTAAAGATAGCATCAGTTATTTATATAAGAAAATCTGTTTATGCTGTCACTTCTGATGAGTAGATTTCTGCTACGTGTCTGCAGGATGTACACGTGGTAATTAAATTATGTTCTAAAAATAGAACATGACCAAAGAAGCATTACTATGAATGCAATAAACATTCCAGGCTGAGCCTATAAGGGTCAGAGAATTCAGCTCAGTTGTAAATAGTACTCCAATTCCTGATTAGTGATATGAAGCAGTATCTTCATTGTTTTTATACCAGTACACTCATTACTAACTGTTAGAAAAGTGTCTATCATTTTCATGATTGAATAAATTGATAAAACGATAAAATAAAACATGATTTACAAAAGAAGTAATATACAAGATTTTTATAATCATTAGTTCTGATTTGAGA